CAGAAATAAAGTCTACATCCATCCGTGTTATGTCCTTATATGAAATCATTGGAGTCCATTTTCACCAATAAATTGACCAAAAAAATAAAGAAAAGTTAGCAACGAATGAAAACACTGAAAATTTCTTAAAATTCGCCTATAAATATATTAATTTTCAAACAAAACTTAACTAAATTTTGGAGATTAAAAAGTTAGACTTTTAAAAGCAGTAAATAATTTTACTATAGAAGCTGAAGATTAGAGATTAATGGTGTAAAGTTTCGAAGAAAATTATGAAAAAAATTCATTTTTATACTACAAATATTCAAGCACTAATCTCCAAAGTACATTGTGAAACCCTAGACTACAACCAACCTCCAGTAAGAAGATTAAAGATTTAATTTATATTTCCTTTATCTTGGGTTTCATTTTCTTTCCCTTCAATTTTACTTTTCAAAGTCAAACATTAGCTCTAATATTTACACATTTGGTAATATTCATAATTACTACTCAGTAAAATTTGTGGTAAAAGGTAAAATTTTAACAAATAAAAATAAAAAATGAACCCATATAAGACATTATATTAATTAAAAATTAAAAAAATATATATCTTGTGGGCCTTGATGGCCTAGTGCAACAACGAACCATTAACTCAACCTAGTATATACCATTAGAACAAATTTCACTTTTAACAAAAAGAATTCATAGTCCCTATTTGATAATTAAAATTTAAAATTTATTATATATTTTATGAGTCGCTACTTTTCAATCACATATTTCATTAATTTTTATCAAAATTTACTAAAAATTTTGATTTTAATTTTCACCAAATAAACGCTTATTTTGAAAAGTCTCCCTATGAACATTTTTCGAGGATACAACTAAAATATAGGTTATCAAAAGTCAAAATTTGTGGTTTACGTTTATAATCATTAATGTGTTTCAACTAACCCTTTGTCTCAGTTTTTAAAAAAATAATAATAATAAAAAATAAAAAATAAAAATTCAAATGTTATTTTTCCTCAAGTTCATTTTTAACCACACATTCTCTCTATGAAATAATTTTATAAGTAAATTCAAAATTTTGTCCTATTCTTCAAAAATATCATTATTACAAAATCTATTTTTACAAAAAAAATAATAATAATAATAAAACAAAATAAAATATATATATATATATATATATATATATATATATATAGTTCAAACAGGGGCCAATTTCACGTTAAGCGTGGATTGATTCAATATTAAGTGTTCAAATACCTCGGGGTTCGTGGATTCAAAGTCCATAGGAGTGGCAACATGAAATACTCCTTCACATCCGTGGATTGCTTCGTCAAAACTTCCTTCTAGTGTCATGTCCGCCTTCCACAGTGTTAGGTTTGTGTCCGCTTTCGGCAATTCCAATAGATGTTTTACTTTTTGCTTATTCTCTACATCATGTCATAACCGTCATATCCATTTAAATTTGTCACATCATTCAAAGTTAAGATTTTATTTGTTATCATGAGTCATCTCTTTCAGTGCGTACAAACATAATCTCTTTCATGTAATTATGATAATAACAAACAAAGAATCAAAATTATACCAGTATCACGAACGGTTGCACGAACAATATAACCACGTTCAAGAAGTCTCTTGACGAGCCATGAGCCGATGAAGCCAGAAGCTCCGGTGACACATACCGTGGCGGCAGCATCAGTTTCCATAATAAAAAATACGAGAAATTGGAGTCGCAAAAGAGAGAATAATGAAACTTTAATTTGACTTTAGTAATCAAGAATAGTGAAAATGGCCCTGTATTTATAGCTAAACTCATGTACTGATTACTCACGTGCCTTACTTACCAATACCATTCAGTCAAGCATCGACTGGTAGGATGCATTAATTTTCCGTTTTTGTTAACTTTGTCGGTTGTCAGTTTGGATACAAACAAGATTGTTCGTTGTCAGTTTTCACGTAAGAAAAAAATAATTGTCACAATCAATTTAGATTATTTATTAGGGAAACGAAGGGCATGCATCGGAATTTTGGGATATCGATTATGGGGTATTTTAAAGTCATGATTTTTTACATTTATAATGGGTTCGATTTTAAGTTGTTTTTAGTATTAGTTTTTGAAATGTCCAACTCATGCTCTAAAGTTTATTATCCTAAGATTCTGAATTTTTTTTTTTTAAATATTAAAATTACATATGCCCCCCTTAATGAAAATTTCAATTTATAGTTTTTTGAATGAAAATTTTACTCATAATGTGATATTTTGATTATAAGTACTTTTTACATATAAAAGTGAAATATTTACTTAATAATTAAAATTTTAAATTATAAGTAAACTTGTAAATTTAAAGATATAAATTAATTTTTCACTTTTAAATTATTTTTTACACATCAGTGAATTTTTTTTCTTTATATTAAATTTTTACTTTATAAATAATTTTTTTACATAAAAGTATTTTTTAATCTTATGAATAATTTTTCACTCATACGTAACTTTTAGTTATAAAGTAATTTTTTTCTTATAAATAAGCTTTGCTATAAAACTAAAAGAATAAGAAAGAAATAAAAGAAAGACATAAGAGTCAAAACTCAAGTATATAATTTTATTATATCAATGTACCCATATTTATAGGGTTTAAAAGGAATACAATTTAAATAAAATAGTCTCTTCTAGATAAGACTTATCAAATATCCTGATAAGATTAATTAATTATCAATAATTATCTCATAGTTTTACAACCTTCTTTCTTTGATGACTATTTTCATAGTAAATGTCTAGCTAAAAAGCTAGTTTGGCAAAAAGTTAGTGTGATAAAAATATCTAGGAGTGCATTTTTTCTCGAAATCGGACCAGAACCGTTAGAACACGTCAATTCAGCTTCGGATCTTCTAAACAATAATTTGATTTTGGGACAAATTATTAAGAACCAATCGGTTCCGATCCGGTTCCCGATTCTTAGGGGTGTAAACGAGCCGGGCCGAGCCGGCTCGCAAGCCTAAAATTTCGGCTCCCGCCCCGGCCCGTTAAAATAGCCGAGCTTTTTTGCGGGCTCGAGCCGGGCCGAGCAAAAGCTCGGCCAAAAAAAATAGGCTCGACCCGAGCTTTTGCTCGGGCTTTTTACGAGCCGAACCGGGC